ATTCTGTAAGTGATGTGGGGCAAGCAGAACCCATTGAGAGACACCCTCTTGGAGGATCCTGAAGCAGAACCTCCTACAACCCGAATGCAGAGAATATAGCCCGAACCCACTGCCCAGGGGGAGGGGGACAGAGTATGATTTGGAGCTTGTGTTAGCCTGGAAAAAGCCTGCAACTGCTTGAGAGAAATGGTAGAAACAAAGGCCTTGTAGAGGCTTTTCATACCCTGCATTAAAGTTAAAATCTAATTTAGATGAAAATGGATGCATAGAAATTAAGTGTGCGTGTGTGGCTTTCGTCGCTAAGTTGTATACCCTGTAACGACAGCTTTACCAAATTTATTCCCTTGGCTTGAAAATAAAGATGCTTTTTGAAATTTGATTTTGTTGTTTTACAAATTGTTTTAGCTTTGTGAATAGTACAAACTCCATTTCTGATCTGCCTCCAACAAAAATAGAGCATTAAAGTGTTTAAGATTCAATCAAAGGCTTGCTGTGCACGGCACAATATTAAAATAACGGAAAAATCAATTCAATTTTTATTTTGAACATGATTTGTCGCAAATAGCTTTCTAATAGATAACACTGATTATATGGCAGTAAATGTAATTTATATACACCAAGCGCTCCGCCTTTGTCAGAGTCAGCATTAAGGAATTTGACACGTATGCAGGAGAACAATAAGTGTCAACTGAAACATACACCAGTTAGATATAAATGGGATGCTGAAATGAGTGATGCTGGCACATGCTATACTTATAAGTAATAATATGCAGTCTAAAGCAGCTTGGGTTTTCAAACAAGAACTCTTTTATGTTGTCATTTAAAATATCTCATATTTCTGAAGGTCAGGAATAAATGGCACTATTAGCATTAAAAGCTAGTGAAAGAAAAAGTAATTTGTTGTTCATTTAACATAACATTTTATGAAATAGCTTTGTAAAGTATTCATTTTCCTCCCCCTGTGGAGGCTGAGATGACAGGATGAAGATGCCTGATTCTCAACCCAGGGCTTTTTACGTCTCCTTTGTGACCGTTAACATCTTGATTCAGTAAGATCTTTGTGGAATTACGCGGTTTGTACCTGGGCAGGTTAACGCTATAGAATAAAGACGTCCACACGGCTGTGGTCTCTGCTGGCTTCCACAGGGTACTGCCCACGTCCTGAGTTTGGTCCTCAGTAGTAGAGCTATTTGGCACAGGGATGGCCATATGTCACCAGGGCCATATGGCAAGAATGTCAGAAACTGACGATGGAGGGTTTTAATGTGAGAGACACAGATATCAAGAGAAAAAAGAGGGAGGCTCTTGTGCTCCTTGGAAACAGGGGCAGGTAAATCAGGATGTGAACTTAAATACAGTCGTGGGACCATCTTGAGAGAAGTCAGCCATAGAAACACACTCAGCCATCTTTCACCAGCTACGGGGCCTGAACTCAACTTCATAAACCTCATCTATCAGGGCGCCTGGGCAACCCTCTAAGCTTCCCTAGAATCCATCAGTCAACCTCACTTTCCCCCTACTTTTAAATTTAGTGAAAAAATTACAGTGCCAAAAACCCAAATTTGACAAACACTGCTATTACCACCTGGAATTACCAAAAATGAACCTTGTATCGTATTTACTTCAAATCCTTTTGTAATGAAAAAGAAATATGACATTTCTGGGAATGAAGGATTCTAAATGGCCTTCTAAGATCTGTTTTGATGTTTTGTACTGCATATTTGGTGAGTGGCAGTATTTTGAAAATAAAAATGTATGTAAGTAGTAATTTTTATATCTAAATGGTACCTACCTGACGCTCACTTTTCTCCTCAGCAGGGAATTGTGGGGATCAACCTACGTCAACACTGATGGATCCTAATTTACTCTTTTTCACTGATCAGGTTATATTTTGGTGGATCTGACAGGTGCAAATGCGTTGGTTTCATTGGTATCCTCATGATTACCAGCAATGTTGAATCTGGAGACGTTTGTTACTTTGCTACTCGGTTTTCCTGTGTGCAGATCACCTGCCCACAGTTTCTCTGTCCATTTCTCTACTGGGTCATCTTTTTCCTTACATATTCTGATCCTAATCCTGTGTCGTGTCCACTTCAGGTAGCTTCCCTGAACTGAGGCTGCCCTATTTCTTTGGCTTTGGTGTCTCTGTTACTCTTACAGAATAGCTCAGGCCAGCTGGCCCTTCCTGCTTCACTTAGTGACTGTTCGCTGTGTTCCAGGCACCGCAGTGAGGGCTTTCCATGCTCTAGCCGACGTAATCCAACAGCCACCCTGTGTGGCCGGGCTACTGTTGTTCCTGGGAAAGTGCTAAGGTCAGAGAAGTTAAGCAGCCAGCCTGGGTAGGAGACGAAACTGCCACTCAAGGCCACCTTGGCCTCGTGGCAGAACTGAGCACTTAGGCCCCATGTCACACTGTGGGAACTTGTACCAGCTAGAAAATGTCTCATCGCCAACTGTTGGAAGGAAACCTATGCGGCAGTTCTCAGCCTTGGCTGGAAATCTCCTGAGGAGCTTTGAAAATACTGGTGTCCCAACCTAGGCTTCAGCCTGACATGGGATTTTCTCCTAAAGCCCCACAGTGACTCTCCGTGGAGCCAGGGCTGCGAATGTCTGTCCTGTAGTTTGTAGTTTATTAAGATCTCGAACATCTAGTAGATTTCAGACCAGGACTTAATTTCATGGCACCAGGCTAAGATTTTAAATATTACACAGGGCTTCAAGAAAGAGAATTTAGAAAATACAAAGAAGAGAAAAGGGAAAAAGGAGGATGAATCAAAAATCCCAACAGATTGAGCACAAGCACTTCAGTTCCACATGCATCAGAGGCCTCCCTGTAAAGGGAGAGACAGCTCCTTTACACCCCTCACCCGAATCTCCGTGGACGAATCACCTGCAATTCTCTTCCAGCACCAGCCTGCCATCACACTGCCATTCTCTCTGTTTGATGAAGCTGTTTGGGGAGTCTTAGAATTGAACAGTGACTAGCCCCACGCTGGCCCAGGTGCACCCTATTCCACTCTGCCTTAGGCCTTGAAAATGACACTGTTTACCTGGCACTTGCCTGTTTAGTTATGGGGGCCCCAGGAACTAGTGGGCTGTTGGGGTGGGGCCAGGAGGCCAGGTTGGTATGTCCACCCTCTCCCCAGGCCGCAGCAGCTCTGTGCTGAGGAGGTGCCAAGCCCTCAAAGCTGGGCACAGCCTTGAAAAAAGACTATGTAGGCTGGAATATCAGGCTCAGAAAGGAAATTTGGAAACCTGAGCCTGGCTCCCTCACCTGGCCCGGACCAGGTGTGAGTTCAAGTGGTTAGAGCCCTCAGGAAAGCCACTGGGGTTCTGGGTACCTATGAATGAGCTGGGCAGAGGACAGCCAGGGGCAGGCCTGCAAGCTGCTCCAGGCCCTCCAATGACTCCCCATTTCCTCCCAGGGTGAGGGATAAAATGAGCCAAATATTTGCATGTGACAGAACATTCCAATTTTCTTAATGTTAAAGAAGCCTTTAAAGTAAAAATTGTATCAAAGAGATGCCTAAAATAGGCAAAGCATTTGGACAATTCCCAGAGAAAGATAAAGGTCTGTTAAACTCTCAAAGGATTCTCACCCTCATTCACAATAAAATCTATGCAAATTACGACGTAAGGAAAAGCGTTTTTATCTATCAAATTGGCAAAAAGGTTTGAACCAATTTCATATGGTTCAATCTATTATATTGTTTTTTGAAGTGTAAATTGGTACAATCACTACAGAGGGCAATTTGGCAATATTGACCAAATAAACATATTCTGAATAGTCAAATATATATAATCTAGAAAATAATATAGAAAGTATTATGTGCATGAATATTTGTAAGCGGAAAATAGCAACTCTGACATACATACCACGCACACCTCTCAGTGGAATCTATGAAGCTGTATGAGGAATGAAGATTCAGAAGATTTATGTCAAATGAACAGCCAACTAGTCTTACAAAATCTAAGTATCTTTCTACCGTTTCCCTCAAGTCTCTCAGTTCTTCCCAGAAACAATCTGGATTTTTTTCTAGAAATACTCTGTTTATACATACATAAATATCTACCTCATTTATTTTTATTCATAAAATAAATCTAATTTATTTTATTTTTTTCTTTTTGAGACAGACTCTCAAGCTGTCACCCTGGGTAGAATGCCATGGCATCACAGCTCACAGCAACCTCAAACTCTTGGGCTTAAGCGATTCTCTGGCCTCTGCCTCCCAAGTAGCTACAGGCACCCACCACAAGGCCCGGCTATTTTTGGGTTGTAGTTGTCATTGTTGTTCGGCAGGCCTGGGCTGGATGTGAACCCAGCTCTGGTGTATGTGGCTGGTATATGGCACCGAGCCATAATATCCAATTTATATTAGTGAATAATGCAAAGTGCAGAACAGTCTGTAGAGTACGCTACCTCTGTGCTTGGACACAAACGGTGTAGTGGGGATGAGTGCGTGAGGTAGATATACACATATGTATGTACAGAATATTTCTAGAAAAACATCCAAGTTGTTTCTGGGAAGAACTGAGAGACTTGAGGGCAACAGTAGAAAGATACTTATGTTTTGTAAGACTAGTTGACAGTTCATTTGAATTTTGTACCATGTTCACGTTATTATTTTAAGCCCTTCTTTCTCTACACTGAAGGTAGACGTTAACCTGAATCTTAATAGCTTGGAGTTACACACGCCACAAGCTGCTCTTATGTGATATCTACTCTGTCCCCAGGATGTTAAAAGCCGGGTGGGCAGAATGTGGGAGCAGTCAAGCAGCAAGTCATGGCTGACCTTTTCGAAGAGGACAGAACTTAATTTTCTAAGGAAATAAAACGCATTAGAACAGGTCACACAAAGGGTCTAGCCAGAGAGATGGCGGTGAAAGTGGGTGGACGGGGAGTTCCAGGCATTACCTGTGGCAAACCTGGGGACCGTTTCAATACTCTTCTCTGGGATGTGATCCCAGCATGTGAAGAATGTCAAAATATCAACCTCAAGCCAAGTGCATTAAAACATTTATTACGATAGAGGGACAAGAGCTGCTCCACGTTTTTAACAAGGGTAAAGAGACTGTAAAACATCTTCCTGTACAGTGTCATTGCTGCAAAATTTGTACCTGTGGAAGAAAACATTTTCAGCATGAGGCTCTTTAGCTCGTGGAAGTGTGATGTCAGGTGAGTAAATAGCATTAGGTAACCCCTGGGCTCAGCATCATTTGACCGAAAAGCTCTGCTACACCAGGCAGGGCCCAAGTGATTCTTACCAAGTCAACCTGCTCAAAGAACATCCTCTTTCCTCGTGGGTGCTTAAGTGAACCAGCCACGTGAAACTAAAGCTTTATAAAGCTGAGGGGTCTCCGGGGCACCTGTTGCTTCTGGCTTTGCAATGAGCTCCAGGGGTCAGAGGTGCCCCAGATAGCCCGGGGGGACTTTCCCTGTCCTGTCAAGATCATAGAGGAGCCCTCATACACACCTTCTGGAAATAAAACGTGGCAGCCACTTTAGAAACAGTCTAGCAGTTCCTCTAAACAGACTTATCATATGGTCCAGCAATGCTGCTCCTAGGTACATGCCAGTGTGACAATTAAATTCACAAACTTGCCACTGTGCCTTTATGTTGACAGCACTTACACCCGACTCAGGCAGGTTTCCTTCCCTTGGTATGCCAGTGCCTCCCAGCTGTGACTGTGTCAAGGTGTGGCGGGTCTTGCTGCGTGTTTATTATTGTTGTTGCATGTTTTCGTGTGCCGTCATGTTTTTATGTGTCGGAGCTTGTGTTAGAGCAATGAACAGACATTCAATTTCTTGTTAAACTTGGCAAGAGTGGACGTGAAATCAGGGACATGCTAGTCCAAGTTTATGGGGGTAATGCCATGAAGAAAATGGCAGTGTGCAAATGGAGTAAATGTTTTTCTGAGGGGACAGAGTCGCAGATGAAGAGAGGTCAAAGTGGCCAGTAAGAAGCAGAACTGATGGAAACATTGAAAACACGTGTCAAATTATTTGTCGAAATCATCAGCTAATTGTGAGAAGCATGGAAGATCAAGTAAACATTGATGAACAATGAGAAAAATCTTAACTGAAAATCTTGGCATGAGAAAGGTGTATGAAAAAAACGAGCTCTTGTGTGACAATAGTGTACTGGTTCGCCTGGTGCTGCTGTGAGGGAGTTTTTAGCTACTAAACATACAACTGTCGGAACCTGCCCTCCCTACTCGCCTTATCTGGCCCTCAGTGACTTTTTTCTTTATCCAATGATAAAGGCAATATTGAAAGGAAGACATTTAGATGACCTCTGGGACATCAAGGGTCACATGACAACAGCTCTAATGGCCATTCCAGAAAAAGAGTTCCAAAATTACTTTGAGTGTATGGACTAAGTACTGGTGTTGGTGCAGAGCTTCCCAAGGGGAGTGCTTCAAAGGTGACCATGGTGATATTCAGCAGTGAGGTATGTGGCTCTTTTCCTAGGATGAGCTCATGAGCTTAACTGTCAAACCTCATATACACAAAAGAATGAGAACAAAATCTTGTCTACGAATGTTCATAGGAGCATCATTCATAACAGCCCCAACGTGGAGACAAACTAAAATGACCATCTACTGCTAAATGGAGAAATAAAATGTGGGGTTTCGGTGTAACAGAATATTATTTGTCAGTAAAAACAAGTGCAATAGACACTCGGTGTGACTGGACTTTGACAACATTCTTCTAAGTGAAGGAAGCCTATGTATGTCGTGTTATTCCATTTATATGAAAAGTCCAGAGTAGAAACACCAATAGAGATGGAAAGTAGGTGAGTAGATGACTAGGGCTGGGGAAATGCTATGGGGAGTAGCTAATGGGTAGGGGGTTTCTTGTAGAGGTGGGGAAAATGTTCTAAAGTTGGCTGTGGTGATGGTTGCACAGCTTTGTGAACATACCCAGACCCACTGAATCATATACTTTAAATGAGTGAATTGTAGGGTATAAGAATTATATCCCAATAATATTGCTTAAAAATAAACACGATGATGGAGGGTTATCTATCACTCCCTGAGATGCAGGGCACTTCTGGCCTTCTCTGGTCACAGGTGTCTCTGGTTCAAGGGGGACAGTGTGGCTAAGCCAGCCCTCCCTTGGGGGTTAGCCAGAATGTCGCTCCTTGATGAGGGAGCCTTTATGTGGGGGACTCTGGTGTTTGCAATATACAGTGTGTGATCTGTACTGTCCTTAAGAACAAGGACCACCCTCACCCCCACCTTACTAAATATGGTGAAATCCAGACACTTCACAGTGCCCTGCAGAGCCAGACCTCACAGACTTCTCAGTTCCCCGTCCAGCTGGGTGAGCTGGAGGGCACTGCGGAAAGAGCACTGGATGGCACATCAGTCCTCGTGCCTCACACTGTGTTCTGGCCTTGAGTACAGTACTTCCTCCCCTTCATCTTTGGTTTCAGTTACTTGCATTCAGCTATGGTCCAAAAATATTAAATGGAAAATTCCAGAAATAAACTATTCAAAGGTCTTAACTTGCACATCATTCTGAGTAGCATGATGAGATCTCACACTCTGCTCCGTCCCACCTAGGGCATGCATCGTTCCTTTGTCTGGCATGTGCATGTGTGTATGGGAAAACACATGACATACAGCACAGGGCTTGGTGTTGTCTGCGATTTTGCACATCCACTAAACGTGGGTCCTGGGACATATCACCTGTAGTAACGGCCCCCAAACTGTGACATGTGATCCCTCCGACAATGCACTCAGCAAGTGAGTGTTACTGCTTTTACAGCCAGCAAAGTTAAGTCATGCAGCTGAATAGGATCTCGGCATGTGTTTTGAAGCCCAGTATAGTTTTCCTTTAGATTCCCTACCTGGGGCTCGGCGCCTATAGCTCAACCGGCTAAGGCGCCAGCCACGTACACCTAAGGTGGCGGGTTCGAATCCCCAGCCCGGACCCGCCAAACAACGACGGCTGCAACCAAAAAATAGCCGGGCATTGTGGTGGGCGCCTGTGGTCCCAGCTACTCGGGAGGCTGAGGCAGGAGACTCGCTTGAGCCTAGGAGTTGGAGGTTGCTGTGAGCTGTAATGCCACGACCCTCTACCCAGGGGGACAGCCTGAGGCTCTGTCTCAAAAAAAAAGATTCCCTACCTGGTCTTGGACAAGTTACTCAACTCTCCACATCTCACTTTCCTCATCTTAAATGAGAGCAGTTGAGAAGTAACATCGACATTTTCCTCATTTTCTAAAATCCTCTTTTCTGACTATCCTCTTTCAAAGTGTCCTTCTTTCTTTGCATATTTTAAAACAGTTATGTTCCCTCCTGACCCAACAGAAGACTCTATTCCCTCAGAATGAGAACTTGTCACAGATTCCCAACGCAGCCTAGACCCTCTCCTGCCACAGTCTCCAAACAAGCCAATTAACATTGGCTATCTGAAATCAACTCAGGTTTCCCCCACATGCTTCCTGGGCATTGGCCTTATTGTTTGAGATGAAACAGTCTCATATTTGCCTATTTCTTTAAGCTATGACCGCAACCAGGGATAACTGACTTATCCCTGCCACAGTGAATTTTGTCTAAGGAAAATGATGTTTAATTTTTCAAAGTAAATCAGATGGATAATGGAGAGTTGAGATGAATAGTTGGGTAGATGAATGGACAAATATGAAAGGATGGCTGGATGGCCAGAAGGATGAGGACACAGAAGTCTAGGTGAGTGGGTGGGTGGATGGGTACGTGGTTTAGTGGATGCACAGAAAAATACAGAAGAATGGATACGTAGATGGGTAGGTTGGTGAATGGATGGGTGGATGCATTGATGGACAGATTTATACATAAATATGAATAGTCAGCCGTAGATGGAACAAATGATACATACTCAGTCCCGTCGGCACCACTTTGCACTGTGATTTGGGCAGCCCCCAGTCTGGGCCGGAGGAGATTTATAACATGGTTATTCCAGATGAACTTAACCTTCTGGATTGTCCCAACATTGAGATCCACATCAATGTCACGCACGTGACTTGCATCTGGCTTGAGGGATCCTCTGAAAATATAACAGGGATGTCGTATCAGCTGGATATATAATACATAGGATGATAGTAACACATTGTTTCTCTAAACAATGGCGGCTGTTGTTGGTTTTCTGAAAATACCTCAGATGACTTCATATGCATCCAGGGGCTTCCCAAACACAAATGTATTTGTGCACAACACACCTTTTAAAAACACTGGATTCCAGATTTCCACTGCTCTAGTTTGTCTCTAAATAAAAATATAATATTTGGGGTGGCATATTAACCCTATAAATTCTCTCTATAGAATCAATAGATGCAATGCCTATGTTTAGAGATGCGTGCCTTCAACCAATGCCATCTGTCAGCATCTCATATGTAGCACAGGAAGTTGTCAAAGAAATTTAACTCAGCATGAAAATTATTATGCAAAAGTTATTGCAAAAATAGAATCTAATTTTACAGCACAGGTTATGCATTTACCCAGCATGTATTTACCAAACACTGTATAGCCTCAGCAAAAACCAGGTGCCAAAGCCACATAGCAAGGAGCAGCTGGCCCATGGCTTCATGTGAACCCGTGTGGGGAGATGAACCATAGAGATGTGCATGGCCTGAGGAAAGAGTAATGTTCATAAAACCTCAGTCAGGTGACTTGACATTCCAAAAGGAGTTAGCACACGATTCATTTTAAATAGAGTTCCTTCTCTCTGGGCCTCACTCTTCTCATCTGTAAAATGGGATGATTGCACTCTTAGATGCTAAATCAGATTTCTTTCCAGCTCAGATGTTCTAGGATTCAATGGTTCTATATAACAGATGCCTAGATTTACAAAGCAGTTTATACCCAATCTTTTATGAACAATCTATTATGGTAAGTAGGGTTATATTACTTTATTATTGAACTTACTTGAAAATCTCATGTTGTTTCGAGTTTCCATTACTCCCATACAAAGCAATCCTGATGTACCCACTCACTTTCTTTTTTCCAGACAGTGTGACTGATACCTTATATCGCCAACCTGCCCAAAGAAATACAATCAGTTCACTGAACTCATCTTATCAAAGAAGCAATAGAAGCATTATCATTGTAAGCTCAGAATACTTCATGGGTGAGAGGTAATGGGAGATGTGACTTAATTGAATTCCTGGGAACTAGAATTCAGATTCTAGGTGGGGGTGAGGGACTCAGAGGGGAGTAAATATAGGTCAGCCCAATCCCTTACCAACACAGCGAGGCCTGTGCCCTTGGATGAACGAAGGACAGCGGTGATTACTCATGCATTTCCTGACTGATAAATGGTGCAATGGATGGAATGGCTCTGTCACCCCCAAATTAATATGTTGAAACCCCAACTCTCAGTGATGGTTTTAAAATATGGGGTGTTTGGGAGATAGTTAAGTCATGAGAGAAGAGCCCTCATGAAAGGAATCAGTGCCCTTATAAAAAGGACCCGAGAGTTTTCCTCTGACACGTGGCAGTGTGCACCAGTGTGCACCAGAACCGGAGTGTGCTGGCACCCTGATCTTGGGCTTCTAGACTTCATCACTGTGAGAAATCAATTTCGGTTGTTTATAAGCCACTGGTCTATGGCATGTCTGTCAAAATGACACTTAAGTGTATTGTGTGTCATTTTGTCACTTTCCTTTTCACTTCATATGCCTTAGAGCAGTGGTTCTCAACCTTCCTAATGCCGTGGCCCTTTAATACAGTTCCTGTGGGTTGGGAACCGCTGCCTTAGAGGTTTTCTGTTTTCAGTGCATAGAGCTATATCCTGTTTGATGATTACACATAGTTTTTAATAGTATTTAGCCATTAATCCGTGAGCTGGTGGACATGTAGATTTTCCCCTCAGTCTTTTGCTGAACACGCCTTCTTACGCGCACATGCAACTATTCATATTTTTATATCATATGTTCTGAGAAACAAGTGACTAGGTTAAAAGACTATGCATATTGTAGACATTGCCAAACTGTTACCTTTTATGATAAATATTGTGAGGATTACATGAAATACAATACGTGAGAAGGGTTTTACAAAGCACTATATAAAACTCCCTTGGAAAATAACTGTTCTTCTCTTCAGCCATCATACAGTATTATTTGTGGAAAATGAGTCTTAATGATTTTGCTATCTGCATTTATTTATTTATTTTTATTATTTTTTATTGAGACAGAGTCTCACTTTTGTCACCCTTGGTAGAGTGCTGTGGTATCATAGCTCACAGCAACCTCAAACTCCTGGGCTCAAGAGATCCTTTTGCCTCAGCCTCTCTAGTAGCTGGGCCTACAGGCACCCACCACAACTCCTGGCTATTTGCTTTGTTGTTGTTGTTGTTGTTTAGCAGGCCTGGGCCGGGTTTGAACCCACCAGCCCCGGAGCATGTGGCTGATGCCCTAACCACTGACCTATGGACACCCAGCCTATCTTTATTTTCTGAATGAGAAGCTGGGCAGAACAACAGCAGCAACAATACAAGATGTGTGTGGGGGGTGTGTGTACCAGGACTGCTATGTTAGATAATCGTCATGCAGTGACTTCTTGACTTACAGTGACATTGCCTCATGTTGCCCACTTCTGTCACCAGATGCATCCTTCCTGCCACAGGGGTGGGTGGGCAGGCATGTGACCTCAGCTGGGCTAATCATTGTACTTTCTTCGCTTGACTTAGGGTTATGGAGTAAAGGGGTGACCACGAGACCCAAGACAAATCCCACTCTACCACCCTTACATTACAGCTTAAGCTGGTTGTAACTGAGTCTTTCTTAGTTGCTACCAATGATCCTGCCTAATAAGGCTGGTGCACCTTTTAAAATTATTTGCAAGAGTTGTAAGTGAGTAAAATGGAAACTTACGGGTAAAGTTACCACTTTCTCCTGTGTTCAGGAAAAAGGTTTGTCCCACAGCACTGGTTTTCCCCTTAAATTGGTCAGCATAGTGCCCCATTTTGGGGCATCCTTCACTTGGACAAGGGAAACAGCCATTCTAGTGGAGGAAAAAAAACTATAATTTTTTTGTTAGTGTAGGCCTTTGACTCACTCAATCAATTCGTCTATCTATGTATCTATGCATCTATTTATCCATCCATCCATCCGTCTACCCAACCACCCATGCTTTCACCCATCCATCATCCACCCACCCACCCCCCCCCATCCATCCATCTATTCTCCCACTCATTCCACTAATCCTGGCAAGGGTCCATCTACCCACATGCACCTCTACATCTATCCTCAGAACTGTGCATGGAACTGTGCTAGGCCCTGCAGACTACCCAAAGAAGACCCTTAAAGTAAGTATATACCCTAAGAGTCTAGTGAGGTACTACTTTAAACGGGATGGAGTCCTTGACTGTTTTTTCTGCTTGGCTGTTGTTGGTATATATAAAGGCTACAGATTTATGAGTGTTGATTTTGTATCCTGATACACTACTGTAATC